GTATATACATATATATATATGAAACTGAAGCTGGTGTGGACGTTTTAAGAGAGAGAGAGAGAGTACGATGATAAAGAGTAGTAATATAGGGAAGCAATGTCTTTGGGAACTCCGCATTCTAACGAGTTGTTTAAGGTTGAATGTGGATGCAGAGGCAGCATCTTTTGCTTAAATTTGCGTTCTCCAATATGGTGGTGATATGGATGCTTACCAGGACTTCCATCAGGATCATAAAACTACTATTTTCTATTCTTACACCGCTACGACTGACTTTGGAAACATAAAACAAAAAAAATTCAAAAACTTTTCGTAGTATCCAAAGGAACATGTATGGTTTTGCATAACATGTTTGTCCCATCATTTTGTTTCTGCATAAAAATGCCTGCAATGTATCTATCTTGTCTTTGAAAGCCGCTTCTGTCTTTTAACTCTACATGAGTGTTGAGTGAAAATACCATGGATAATAGTACCTTCTATATATATATATATATATATATATAAAGTTTATCCATCTAACTTTTTTTCCATTTTATTCTTTCATGTTGTTTTTATTGTAAACTGAGCTTGTTAATTTGTATTAATATATTTTTTTATGGGATTATTATAATGTTAAAAAAAAATATTAATATTAGATTGATGTTCTTTCTTTAAAAAAAATTAGTTTTATTGCTTACGAAAAATTATAAAAATAAAAGAGCAAAGTGAGATAAATATGTAGTTTTTTTTAACTCACTTTTAAATGTCACTATTGTCTTTAAATGTTATTCTCAAAAACATTTTAAAAACAATGATTTTACTATTAATAACCTCGTAAAATATTATGGATGTTTTTTATCCTTTAAGTTTTTTTTCTCTTGTCATTGATTTTTTTAAATATTATTATTTTATATTTCATTGATTGGAGATAAAACTTGATAATTTTTTTCTATTTATCATGATATTAAAAAAAATCTCAATATTGAATTGATACTCAGATTTAAAAAAAAGAACTCAGTTTTATTGTTTGCGAAAAAAATATTCAAATTGATACACAATATTTTTTTTTAATTTTTTTAGTCCATTTAGTTTGATAATTATATATTTTAATCCAAAATTTTATTTTATTTTATTTTCATATTTTAGTTAATGAGTTTGAGAGAGGAGAGACTAGTGGAAAAACAATAGTGGAGACAAATAGATTAAATGGCTAAATTTTATGAATAAAAAAATTAAATTTGATGTAACTGTGTTTTTCTTAACAAGAAGAGTATATTGATGTGTTTTTAAGTTTTTATATTATTAGAAAAGGTAGATTCAGATTGGGATTTTTTTTTAATTTCTTGTTTTTAAACCAAATTTGAGTTGAGAATTTGTTTATAGTGTGTTTGTTAAATATTTTTAAATTAAAATAAAATTTTAAATTAAAATAAAATAAATAAACGACGCAGTACTCATCACATGAGGCATCATTTAATAGATAAGGTAATGTTATTTTTTTAAAAATAAAAATAAAATGACATAGGCATAAAAAAAAGAGAAAAAGTCCAGGTGCCCATGCCCTACTTCTTTGACATAGACAACTGGCCTTTACTCTGGTTTTTTTTTCAAGATTATTTTTTCTTTAAAATGCATAATAAAATGATTGACATGATAAAAATAATTATTTTTATTTTTATTTATTTGACAATAAAAATAATTGACATGATATTTAAATTATTATTTGATTTTTCCATGATTTTTAAATAATATTATATGATTTTACAAGAGTGTTAACAATTTCTATTTTAGTTATTATGTTACACAAAAATAAAAAATAAAAAATTACTCATGAATATTTTATGAAAATAAAATTATGTTCTTTAATTTTTTTGATATATTTCTAATATGATTTTATCACATTTATTATTATTTTTCCTTTAATCACATATAAAATATTAAAATATTATTTTTCAAAAAACTTGCTTTTGAAATCATGATTGATTTTTATTTAAAAAAAAATACTTACAATAAAAAAATACTTTCATTAAAATCATAAAGATATGTATTAATAAGAAAAAAAAATTAGATTTACAAAATATATTTGCTCTTGATAATTTTTTTTGTTATCTTTTATTCAAATATCTCTTTTTATAATTTTTTAATGAAATAAAAAAAAAATTTTAAAAAACAAGGTTACTTACTTCAGCCATTATTAGTTGGGTGAGTTAACCTAATTTAATCCGGGTATATCTAAAATATTATTATTTCAATATTTTTTATATAAAAAAAATTAATTCAATATACTTTTTTAGTTTTTATTTAAAAAAATCATATTTTGGATGGATAGATCGAGTCAGCACCACTAAGTTGTGTTGATTTAACAAGTTTGGTTGGGTTTAATAATATTACCCTATTATAACATGCTATGTGTTTTACTAAAGTGGATTACACTTTTCTTTGTAGAGTTTCTGACTTATCTCCATATCTTTACATCTTTCTGCTAGAAATAGT